CAGAAAACACAATATGCTTGTCCAGCAACATTTATTTTCTTGCACCATGTGCCGATGGTATCCCCATTACCATCTCTCCGTTCAATCCAATTCCACCTATATGCATTTCAGACACCTTCTTCTAATGTATAATATCACTATTTATATTGAGAAATTTCATAGTGAAATTCTCTAGCATACATAAATAAAAAAATATTTCAATAAACGAAACAAAAAATTTACACGTGCATCAATAAATGAAACGAAAATTTTACACAGCGGAGAAAAAAAAAGTTGAGAAGCGATCAATGAAAAATAGCTAATACGGCGAAAAATCCCCCTTCTCTACTTATTGGCGCCACGCCAGGAGAGATAAGACCTTTGAACCCAGAGTCACGTGATAGCACATCTGGTCAAACGAAGTCTCTCCCTTTTTTTTCTGCCGCGCCTACTTGCCGAAAAGCATCCAGAAGAGAATGTCCGAGAACTGGGGAAATGAGTCATAACTCGCAATAAGGAACAAAAAAAGAAGTTTTTCCCCCCTTTTCATGCATTATCACTGCCTTTGGAGAAAGAAAGGAAAAGTTTTCACCACACACACTGACCTTGCGTTTTCTGCTTTCAAAGCAACAAATTACCCAGATCAAAATAATAATTCATTTATTCCTACTTGCTTTTGAACGACGATCCCCGGAATTTCCGGGTATTGAAGTTCAAAATCCCCGGAGCACAAACACCCCTGATTTCACCAAGTTTCGTCGATGAACTACTATACACTCGCTGGAACAATCAGCGACATAGCCTTCAGGTTATCAGGCTATAACGGTGAAGACAGCTTCACTGCAAAGCACCAGAGTACAGCTCCCGACCCTGCTCGGTCGTTCTCGGAACTCCACGCTACAACTCGCAGTGCACTGCACGCCACAGCTCTCAACTCTTCGGTTCAGTTGTTTCCAGAGCTTAACACACTCTCTCGACAATGCACTAACCACAATACATTAAGAGACTCTTTGATGCACTCGACGACCCACTCGGCACTCACTGGTCAGCTGTCAACTTGATCATCTCCGCACGGACTAACTAGATGAGACACACTAACTCGCACTGCGGACCAGCAGGGTTTATATAGCTTTCGGCTTATGTTCGAGAACATTCTGGGCTAAACCGGTATTAATTCGTTCCAGAAGATTCTCCATCAGTCCATGGAATGTCGCCAAGTGGCCGATTTCTCGGCAAATATAGCAACCCTGCCTTCCCTTGCTGTTTTATGGTAACCCTAAAACTGCTTTGCGGAGAAGCCACCTTACAGCACCTATACATTTCGGACCAATAATTATGCAAAATGCAAGAAATAAAACAGTAAAGTTTAGGTACAATTATGTATTTTCAAAAATACACAACATACTTTCTGAGAGAATTCTTTTAAACTAACTGTCCAGGTTACATGAGAGATAAGAAAACTCATCAGTTTACGAATTTTGGTACAGCATCAAAAGAACAATAAAAATACTCTCATTTTTTAACTTCTTATTTTTGCTTAACTTTAATTTAAAATAAAATGCTGGAGCAAGTTAAATGCAGAGAAAAATTTATGAACATAAATGCTTCTACCGAATTAAACATTCCTCATCTCTTAATAAAACATTCATCATATTAAAGAAAACTTTTAAATTAATCCTTATTTCATAATCCACGCTCTTATTAGTTTGAAAATTTTACGAAATTCTAACATCTGTATATGCTTATTAATCACTTTCATTTTAAAAATTGTGAATACTTAAGTTGATAATTATAAATGAATCATTAGAGTCTTAAAATAATTAAAAAGGAAACAAATCACAACACAGAATTTTTGGTACTTTTCCACTAACTGGGCATTATCATTGGTGATCTTGGCTTGTCATATTCCTACTAAATATCTTGATGTATCACATATTAGTTTTTTTGTGCTTTTGGACTTTTAATAAGCAGACTGTCGAAACATCAACCTACAATCCTCCTAGGACTTTCGAAAGCTTTTTAAGAGGAATGGGATAAATACCTTTTCTGATACAACAAAAGGCTTTACTTTTACTATTTTGAAAATTACGGTGTAGAAAGATAATAAAAGAATAAGGGTTATAAAATAGAACATTTTAAACACAAATATTTTAGGTAAAGTAATTCTGTAAATACAATCAAAATCACACACACAAAAAAGTGCAAACAGCCTCTGTATTCTTAAAGTAACTACCAGGAAATTTCCATCAGAACAAATAAAAAAGTTTGGATGTTTTTAAACTGGTTTATCAATTGATTTTTGAGATAAACACATCATTCAAACAAGCTGTGCATGTAGTCAACATTTTTTCCCCCACAATTATAAGTCATTCTTTTCCTTCTGCAAAAAATAACCAAATTGTGCCAATATGATCATGTTAATATATCAGTAACAAAGAATAATTCACATGAAAGACAAGATAAAATTATCTATTTGATGAAAAATTAACATTAAAAAAAATAAATAAATAAACAGCTATGGCTACATTTTCAAGTAATGACTAATATAGCTCCTTAATGGAAAAATACCAAACTTTTATTAGTATATATTTTATTTAAATAAAAACTGCATTATTGATATTAATCGAGCTTTAATTTTTTACACTTAAAATTCACTTGATTTTAAATTATGAGTTAATGATTTAATTTAAATAAAATAACTTTAACTCAGGCTTAAAAAACTATGAATATTCACAGTCTGCATTATACAAGAAGGCTGTATATACAAATCATATTTGAAGTCCATTTTCAATAAAACACATTTTATATATATACATCGGGTTTTAACGAAAGTTTAAACAAATCGTCTGTACAAGCAGTTTGTGATGGCATGTTTAATCATATTTTGTCAAACGATTTTTGGCATCTGAAAGAAAGACTTGCTTTAGAAATCTGTGTTGTTCTAATATTTGTTAAAAAAAAAAATGCTGTTATCATTAAGTACAAGGTGTCTGAAATGGAACTATCATGCTATCAGATTAGAACCTAGTGCCATGTCCATTACTCCCGCTATGCATTGCATAAATTGGATGTCCACTACACAAAAATGGAGGGAGGATGAAATTCAAACTGCATTTTCTTCATGTATCGAAAAAGCAACTTAGGATATATATTAAATTTACATACAGCATTGTTCTAACATAGGTATTTTGATGACACAAATCGGACTTTTTATGAAATAACATGCCAATTTTTTTCCGTATTTCAATTCTACAACTCAAATTATGCCTAAATAATTAATTTTGTAAAATTTATGGGGAAATTAAAAAATTTATCTTGATATATATTTTTTTTTTCAGTTTGCTCCAAGAATAATTCACTTGGCGAACTTCTTAATTTACAGCAACCTATTTTTCTTTCCCTTTTTACATTGTGAATGAGTGGAAAAAAAGTTACATTGTTCCTACTTTTAAATAATTTTAACAAAGTGCGTAAACCATATTAGATGTTATTATCGCTTTCAACAAATATCCCAAATTTCAAAATCCGCCAATACGTAAATTGACGTATATCCTTGGAAATTTCGAATAAAAAGCTCTAATTTTTGCAGGTATGCTTAAAAATACATCTATTTTAAGATGACGGTAAAAATTTATAAAAATTATTCAAAAATACAAATTTATAAATCATAAAAATTGGGTGAATTTTATTTGGAATGAACCTAAATTTTGAACTGTGAAAGAAGAAATCAAGTAAGTGTAATAAAAAAAGAGGTATTAATACATACCAAATTGAATTAACATTGTGGAGCTAAAATTTTAAAAGCTAACTTTTTAAAACCTACTCATGCGATGTTTACAAAACTTCACAATTTGGCATAATTTAGGCTGTAGAAGAGAAATATGGAAAGAATTGGCATGTTATTTCAGAAAATTTTGTACCAAAATACCTATAAAACTTTGCAATTTGGCATAATTTGAGCTGTAGAATAGAAATATGGAAAAAACTCGCAAGACATTTCAGAAAAAGTTCGATTTTGTGTCAAATTACCTATATTAAACAATGCTATATATAATTCTAATACATATCCTAAGTTGTGCTTTCGAGACACAAAAAACACGATTTGAATTTCATCAAGCGGCCCAATAGAATGAAAGATATAGAACCTTTTTCTTTTTTTGTGAAGTACACAAGTTCAATCGCTGGGTGCTGCATCAGTTGACTCAAGCAGATAACGACTGATGTTTGTTCGGGCCTGCATTAATTCGCTCGAATATGAAAGCAAGGATAAAATTCCAGACCGAATCCTTGCTTGTGATGAAAAGTGTATTTACTTCAACAACAGAGGCCGAAAAAGGGATTTATCTGTACCCGGTGAGCGCACCAACAGCGTCACACAGCACAATTTGACTAACAAAAAGATCATGTTTTGTATTTGGTAGGATTGCTGTGGTATTATCCACAAAGAGTATCTTGGAAAAGGTAAAACCTTCGATAGTAAGATATGCAGTGAGTTTGTAGGTCTGTGTTGATGCTGCTATCAAGGAAAAACGTCAAGCAGAGTTTCAGCACAAAAAGGTAATGTTCCATCAAGATAATGCACAACCACATATGTCTCCTTCATTAGTTGGATTTTGTACAAACTCGAATGGGATCTTTTGCCATACCCACCACATAGCCCAGACATCGCTCCTTCGGACTTCTACCCTTTTTTCACACTTGTAGCTACAACTTGCTGGTGCTATCTTCCATTCTGCACAGGATGTCCGAAATGGACTTGATTTTTTTGGGGGGGGGGTACACGTGGCCACCAAGTTTCTGAACCAAAGGCTTTGAAAAACTACCAAAACGTTGGCAGAAAATCATAGATGATTTGGGCAGTGATTACTACCTGAACTAAAGGTCCTGCTTTCTCTCTCTCTCTTTTTTTTTATATAAAGTCCTAATTTTATTAAGAACATTTTTTGGCGAAAAACTTTCGTTACAACCAGATATACATATCATCAATCATTAATAAATTTAAATAGGAAATGTAAACTAACCAGCTGTCCAGCTAAGAGAGGCATGTATTCAATTATAGCTAATCGCACCCTCCATTTACTGTCTTCAGCTAGTTCCACTATAGCAGGCAAAAGAGACTGCGAAAGCTGCGTTATGCCTATTACTTCATTAACACAGTCAAGATTGGAAATTATATTTAACCGCACATCTGGACACTCGTCTTTTAACTGTGACAGAAAGAGAGGAAGTAGGTGTTCTACAGTGCTGAAAAATAAATTAACAACATTGAAACATTTCATGGCAACTTAATTTTTTAAACTGCATTCAATAGAATTTTCTTGTAGAGTACTTTATTTTACTATAACATACTAAAGAATAATATTAACTAAAGCAAATCATACAGCTTTTTATAAACATTCAATAAACTATTAACATTGTCAGAAGTATTGACTGCAATGACTTCAGAAATCATCATATGTCACTACCTCTTAATGAAATAATATACTCAGCAACCTTATGCTACTGCAAAGTATCTCTCTGGAGTTGATAAAATTAATGACTCTGGATTAATGGAAACTAGAATTAATATCTCTACTGTGCACTATTTATTAAAAACTCATTTACATGAAAATCAATGGGATATGTATGGGTATACATTTTTCAAGCACCATATACAAACTTTATTTATTTTTGAGCAAGAACATAACTTTTATGCAAAACTTTAAAGAACCAAAAATTTCAGTTTTAATTAACTTAAATTAAATTGAAATATTTAACCTCAGTGTCTTAAAAAAAGAATTATAGCTGTAATATTGATTACTTAGATATCATCTGTGATTTGATAGTTTTGTAATACACAAAAACATCAAATTTTCTGATAAAAGATACTTTGATTTCAAAACTGTCAAGTTCATTAAAAAAAAAAAAAAAAACTGCTACCATTAACCAAACCAACAAAATACAAAAACATCTATACCATTTCTAAAACTTTTCATAAATGCATTGTAACTATGCACCACAATCTATTATTTCTTTTACTAACACAAATGGGTTTATTTATTTAAAAATCCTTTTAATATCTTGTTAAGTGATGATTCTCAATGTTTAAATCATTTATTTCATTTATTATTTAAAATTAAAAACCATATTAAATTATTATTAGGTTTTAACAAGCTACAATTTCAACAATCTTTAGATTTTTCTTTGTTTAAAAACATAGATCTTTCACTTCCTATTGAATGCACCTTTTTCTAAATTTTATTCATATTAAAAAATTACAGCTTTGTAATCGCCAGTAATCAAATTAGTATATTCACACAGTTTACAGTCCTCACAGCATTTTGCTTATATCAGCTATACTACACAATTAAGTACTTCTGTTTTATGACTTAACAATCACTTACTTCCTTTATTTGAAGATTAAGCTATCCAAACATGGCAAAGTGTATGAAGGCTAAGGGATCTTTCTTGGGAGACTATAAAAAATATCTCCATTTGGAGGGATGCGAGATATAGTAGCAGGTTAAAAAAAAATGTTTTCTTCCTTAGTTCTTGCTTCTACTAGATTGTCTTTGTTCACAGTTTGAAAACTATGCCATCTTTTAGTAATTTTACGCTTTTATCAAATGCTCACTTACTTCTTTAAAGTAGTTTATTTGGATTATTTCATGTAAAGTTCAAATATTGACAAGTGTCCTTCAACACAAATATTTCTATTTTGGCCAACATTAAGGTATTAGAGGTATTTGTAAACCTGATGGCATTGTTTCATTCCTAATTTTGTAATTAAGATGTTTTTAGTTTTGCAAAATGTCAATGTTTCCTTGAATACTGCCATATTGACATAAATTGGTTTCCAGCAGCTTTTTAAAACTTCCATACTTGTATCAAGTTTCAATCGATTAATTTCATGTAACATTCAGACAATAGCACATTGTTTCTGATACAAATTTTTTCTCTCATATATTTTGCTAACATGTTATAGCTTGTACTTTTAATGCTTCGTATAAGTTAATATGTTGCTTTCCCCCCATTCTAGATTTAGTATTCTCATTTTGAAATTAAATATTTTAGTTCCAACTGCTTTCAGTTCAGATATGTTTTTGGGATAATTTTTTTTATTATTATTATTTATTAGCTTTAAATTTTTTAAATAATTTCAACTTTATAGAAAAATAATATACATACATATATATATATATATCAGTGGCATGCCACAGTTTTCATCAAGAAAAATTATATCCTTCTCTAAGATGACCAGCCACTGACATGCAGGTAGTCTTCTTACAAAGGTGAAATACAGTGCAAATGTTTATTTATATTCTGAGAAATATTAATCACTTTCAGATATAACCATCTTATGAAGAAGACTGCAACCACAGATTTTACCGTATTTTCAATGTGAAGATAACTGGTCTAATACAACAACTAATGAGTACAATAATGCACAACCAGCGTAAATTAATTTATAAAAATTAGATGAAGAGGGGAAAAGGTTTGTACAAATGAGAACATGTGGAGTAAATCTTCCTTTTGTAATTATTTTTTTATTTTTCTTGAGAATATAGTTATCTTAAAAACACACACACAAGCAATCGACACAATGGGATTGTGATACTGACAGTAAATCAGCGCTTTGCCATAAAATGGCATCACAGGTTGCTTGTGCATGCTTCAGAATGATATCATGAATGGTCTTGCTTTTCGTAATGCTTCCCTCTCCATAAACTGAAATCTGGAATTTCACATCAGTATACTTTAATTTGAATTCTTTCACATAATATGAGAATACTCTCATGAACTAAAATATAGCACTAAAAGCTAGATTACCTTCATTAAAAGTTATTAGAAAATTTTACTTTGTAGTGACCTACTGATAAATTATAAATATTGTTTATAAAAATAGTTAAGAGCATGTCTAAGGTAGTCATGGAAGCAGGTGAAAGGGAACTAAATACTCACTTGCAAAGAGGCAAAGCATCCCAAACAACATGACTATATTCAAATGACGTGTTGCTTTAAAATGGATAAAATGAGGCTTTTTTAATGTTAGGCAAAAATATATTTGAAAGTGTTAATGCATAAGATGTCAAGTGATTAGTTTAATTCCTCTAGTCCACTGATGGCATATCACTAATATGCCACCAATGGTATTATTATACGCAAACGATATAATAAGAAAAAAAAGGGGGTTACTCAAATATATAGCAGACCAATTCCACACATGCAACACTTATTGAGTATTTTGAAAATTTTATGTTTTAACTGCTTAGCAACAATTATCTAATATGGTATATTTTTGGATTATATTATTATGTGATGAATGGTTGTGTACTAATGTGTTAACCATGCTAACCTTGTGTTCTTCATACTTTTAAGATTTTTGGATTACTAAAAATGTTAAACTAAGTGTTTTTGATGTAATTCTTCTTTAAAATGCCAACTACTTTTTGGACTTAGCAGAAAAAAGTCCACAAATTTTTACACCATTCATAAGTCTGATTTTAAACTGATCCTAGTTTTTTTTACGTAATACCCATAAGAAGCATTTAATAAAGAACAAAAAGTAATTCATATGATATAACTTAGCTTGAGCTTTAAAAGTAAAAGAAATAATATATTTTAAAAAGCACATTTCAAAATCCCAATATATCAAATTTTTTAAAAAGTGTATTAAAAATGGTGACAAAATAAAAATTTACTTTTGTTTCCCTAAAATTGGTGACAACCCCATAATAACTGATGCTAAAGCTGACTTCACATGCTGATTGGCATCTGCAACTAATTCTTTAATGCACGGAAGAATATTACTCATGATTACTTGTTCTTGAATATCTGTTGGCAAATTCTGACAAAAGTCTAAAAAAGAAATGTGCAACACATGTTTACTATATATATTCAACAACAATATTAAAAGATGGAATTTTCAAAAATAAATAAATAAATAATAAAATAAAACAATTTTTAACCTTTTACTTTGTGAGCTGCAGCTGCACGTACTTCTGCTTCACAGTCTTTCAACAAATTTTGAAAAGCAGGCACTAAATCTGTTTTTGTAATTTCTGGACCAACTGCTTTTTGGATCTGTAACAAAAACATTAAATTATCCTTTTACTAACAAGAAAACAATCTTTGCAATATCAACATGTAAAAAGTCACTAATGTTATGTAATTTCACATTTTTGGTTCATAGGGATATAACCATTCTTATCGTTCTCAATCATGCAAGCAATAAAATAATTTTACAGTAAGAAATAAAGGTAGGGTTGAATAAAATAAAAAATGATCACCTGCTTATATATAAAAAATTTACTTATGTAATTACATAAGCCTTCAGTGTAATCTTTTCCATATATATATACACACAGAAGTTTCTAACCCACATCTGGAAAGCACTAGACATAAACAATACATTAGTTTTTGGGTTTCTCCACATAAGATCCTCTATAATTCAAAAGATTTCTTATTTTGTATGAAGTCATTCTTCACTCAGGTTTTTTTTAGCTTTAGGAAGAGGTCAGTCCCAATTTCACATCTGAGTAACATGGTGCATGCCTCAGTATCTCCCACACTATTATGGTTATATCCCCTACATGGTCATCAACACGGGATTGTTATCGCAAAAGATGATAGGCTGGCATGTTCAGAAATTCTAACACTTTTCCAAAGAGCACAGAGAATAACGATTCAAAAAATTTTGGCAGTATTATCATTAACAGTTTGTAGCTAAAGAAGTGTACAATGCAGAAATATTTTTTATCACTAAAAAACACAGGCCATCATTCACTACACAATAATTTAAGTTTTAGCTTTTCCATTCTCACCTGCACTTCAAACGCAGCAATGATTTATATTCTAGATATCTGATCTATTTTCTAATGTAATATTCAAATTCTCATTGGTATGGCCGATTCTGAACTTTACATACATGACAAAATAATAAGTCTAATTTTATAATGACTAATACGTTTTGCAAAACATTTTTGTGGCATGTTCCTACCTCTAATTCTCTTGCTGCGCAATACTGATTCACTTGCAATAATAGTCTGAAATTTAATTCAGACTATTATTTCTATATGCCACATAAACTTTAATTTATTTTCATACTTTTAACTTGGAAAACATCTCTTAAGGGCAACTCTGTTTAATTTAAGACTCTACATTCTTCAACTCACAAACACATTCAAATCTGTGTGTGTGAAACAAACAATACCTTCATACTCAAGTTTGTTCACATGCAGCTTGAAGACAGTGTTGCTATTATTTATACTCCTACTTGGAAGGGGAGGAAGAAATAATACTTGTTTACAAAATTATAAGCTCTTTTCTTCAAAATGAGTAAAACCAATGAGAAAGAGATAATGATAAAGTCAGCAAAACTAAGTTTAACAGCATTAGGACTGTAAATTTCCAAGTATTCTAACAACTTAAGGACACAATAAGCATTTTTATTATTGTTCAATCATAGTCAAAATATATTTGATGAGATTTATCAAAACACTGAATTTAGCTTGCTAAACTTCAATATCACTAAGCTGTTCTCAACGCTTTAATGAAGCTGATCAAGTGAATTTTAATTATGGCATAGTAATGAAAAAATGTATAATGAAAGCATAAAAGTATGCATGTGTAATTTTTTTTTTCCCATTTAAGCTTACCTCATTAAATTTATCAGCAACCATATATCGGACTCGCCAGGATTTGTCCTCAGCTGCTTGACGAAGAATAGGCATTACAAACTGTTCAATATCATCTTGTGGAAGTAATTCTGATATAGAAACGCAAGCTTCAACAGCAAGCAAGCGAACTGAGTCCTATAAAATAAAAAACAAAAGCTCATCAAAATACCTTTCACAGATATGAATTCAATTTATGAAAAAAACAGACAGCATTATTAATACAGCAAATTATTTATGATAAAAATAATTTGTTAAATAAGGTTGTAAGACTCTAACCTGCTCATCTTGAGCTAAATTTGCCCACATTGGAATCAAATCTGATTTGACATAATCTAACTCTACCACATAAGCAAATTCTCCCAATTTGCTAGCAGCAGCTCGGCGAACCATAGGCGTATCATCTTGGCAAAGGTTTCGAAAATGACTAATAAGATAAAAATATTGTATGTAAATATGTAAACTGCATGGAAAAAAAAAAAAAAAAAAAAAAAAAAAAAAAAAGAATTAGACAAGATTAGAGACAAATTTATACTCTTCCAACGGCATGATGTTTTAAAATTGATATACTGAAATGTTTTATCGCATAATGAAGAATAAGTTAGCTCAGATGCTTGAATTTCAATTTATATTATTAATAACAAAAAGTTGAAATTAAACTGTCATATTAATATTAAACAGAAATCGTTACATGGAAAATCTTAATACTTAAAGAATAATCTACTTTCCAAAGTTATAACTTTTATGACGATTTTATATCAGATACAAATTTTTAGAATAGCAGTAGTTTAAAATACACTGTCAAACTATCAGACTTTTACATTTTTTTTTTTTTTTTGACAAAACTTGTGTCAAATTAACATATATTCGATCCTTACTATCAATAGTTTCTTACTCACTTTCAATTTTTTTTCTACTTAAAATAATTAAAAAAGTGTTTTTCAAAGATTGAATTGAAAATCTATAAAAATCCATCAACCGTAATAAATAATTCCAATCCTGTCCTTCCAAAAATATTGAGTCCTAACTTGTCATTATTTTTCCCATATTTTTTATTATTTATTCTGCTCCATAAATAGCCCTACAACTGTAGAAGCATATTTATTTTTATTTTACTTATTTTGGACAAAGTAGATTGTAGATAGTATTTCTGTTTCTTAAAAGAAACCTAGATAATATTTTTTCAAAATATTTACAGTATTTTTCTAAAACTATGTGCCACTCTAAAGATGAATCTTCCTAACAAAATTAGTTACAAGCAATCAAAAAGAAAGGCTTAATTGTTTCCGCTACTATTACTTACTTGCGCAATTCAGCTTTTAATTGAGGAGACAGTCTTGCATAACATACACCAAATAAACCACATGCAGATGTTCTTGAGGTAAACCAATCACCTAAAAACAAATTTTAATTAGATATCATTACAATATACTAGAAATATGCATAAAAACATAAATATTCTACATAAATTACTTTTTAAAATGCTGAAAAAAAAATGCGAACAAACACATTTTTGTTTCTCATATTTACCAAAACAGCAAATACTCAATTATAAAAGATTAAAATTTTCAAATGCCTAGATTTGAAAAAGTGCATATTTTGGCCTATAATATAATACATTACAAATTCAAGTATTTATTTACTGTGATTTCCAGTTTTGCATTATAATGTCTGTATTTAATTAATTAAATTACATAAAAAATTTAGATGCTTAGAGAAAATCATTATCTCTTTTATTTCAAAAATATGACTACATTTTTTTCACAACACCACATGCAGTTTATAAATATGTTATCTTCCCCTAATATATGAAAATTCTGACCTACAGGATAAGATCATAAATTCAAAATAAACTTAAATATGATTAATCTAAATATTTCCATAATAAAATAATCTATTTTTACATGATGAGAATACTAGAATAAAATCTGCATACTACATTAAAAAAATGGAATCATAACCATTTCCAAACTGAACATCCACTGTACCATGTACACTGATATACTTAATATATTATTTATGACCTTTGTTCAGATATATGAAAATAAAAATTGAATTCAACTTTAATAGCTAAAATTCAAATACTGCTCTGGGTAAAAATATTTTTATTTAAAATTAATCGCAAATTAAAAATAAGTTTTAGAAATAAGAACAGTGATGCTGAAAGCTGATTAATGTTATTAAAAAATCTGACAATGTAAACATAGTCAGATACAAGATAAAGAAACAAACTAAGACCTCTAAAGTAAATTACTGTAAAAATGTACAGAATACTTTATTTTCTTATGAATGTAGTTTACCTGAAGCTAATCTCTTTACAAGAGGAACAAAGTACTGCTCTAAATCTGCAGCACTGTGTTGTTGAGATATGTTTCTCAAAGATTCTACAGCTTTATCTCGAACAACAGTTTCTTCTACAGTTGCCAGACTTTCAAGGGGTGGCTAAATTAAAAAATATATATATATTAATTATATAGAAAGAGCAATAACTGAATATTTGCATAAGTATGAATAATGAAATATTAATTCTGAGGTCTAAAGTTTAATTCTATAAACGTATTTTTTACAGTAACTTTATAAGATTTTTTAGATGCAGGTAAGATTTTCCTTTTATGATTCAGTTTAAAAATACTTTACTGAAACATAGCATAACTACATTAATGTCCAAAAGTAAGATTACAAACACAAAACATAACTGATTTATTCTAATAAAACTTGAGATGCCCAATATAATGAGATAGTCAATAGTCACTCACACACACACACACACACACAAAAAAAAAAAAAAAAAAAAAAAAAGCAGCAGTAGGTAAATGTTTTGTGATATGCAAATAACCGTCAAACATGACGCCTTATATTTGCAGAATAACCCAGCTAATGAGGAGTATGACCACTCCACATAACTGTACATGCTTTGTAACAGACCCTCATTTTGTAAATGAGGTTGGCTATCATTTGCATGTGGCCACAAAAAAAAAAAAAAAAAAAAAAAAAACTTTTAAAAGTGAGGATTTTAATTACTGAAGTGTCCTGGAAGGATACTGATACAAAGCAAAAGCTCTTCCCCGAGGTTAAACATGTTCAGTAGGATTTATATTCGGTGACTTTGCTGACACATGACAAATATCGTCTTCCTCCAATAAACGTCTGACCTCTAGGTGGCTTCACATTATTGTCCATAAAAATATTCTCTGACACACATTAAGGTTTAATAACCTCATATCTATAACACTCTGCAGTTACAATGATGCCTTCTCATACAAGGATTTTACTTTTATCAAAAGCGGTCAATTTTTCTTATACTAGAAGAACAATAGCAGGTCCCAGGCTCTACCCAGACCAAGATTTGCCGAGAATCATTTTAACAAATTAATCTCAACTGATCTTAAAAGAAAGCACATAAATGGTACACCTTCCTACATAACAGATAAGCTCTCTCCTGCGATTTGTTGAAAAGGATATACACCACTGGTCACCAGGCACAAAAGATCACCTTTGCTAAACATCTGTATACAGTTTACCTGGAAAATGTTATTCCTGATAATATAACAGTTAAATTCTTTAAGAGCTCTCTACAGCATCATACATTTAATTATATGTACCTAATTACGGCACATTGTAGCTTTTGCACAGCTTTGAGCTGGCAAAAGACTAGGTGCTATAACTTGGAAACTATGATTTAAGACAGTCATAACCATCAAATGACCTTCACTTTATATTGGCCAGTCTCAATCCATTGCCTAAATGATTGTGAGAGCTCATTTAAATTAAAATCAGTTATTCTTGTGAACCTTCTTGCAAAAAACACAACTCTACAGATGAATTCAGTCACTAATGTTTCCTTAAATAATAATAGGGTAGTAATAATAGGGGTAGGAAAAATAATAATAGGTGTAGGAAAGGAGTCTAACAACTACTCGATACTTATATGATGCTCATCAATCCTCACACTATATCAATTTTTAAATATTAACCCTCTAAGCGGCAAGGCCATATATATGCGGCCTAGAATCTTTTTTGTGATATCTGTAAGAACGTATATATACGTGCATATTAAATTATGTCGAAGAAATAAAGGCAATATATCAAAAGAAATCAAATTCAGATATGAACTACCAGGAGAGTTTTTACATTAAAATCAAAAAAATAATTTGTTCTCATAATAATTTTGGGAAATTTGTGCTTTCTTAGTGAAATCCCTCGCTGCTCAGAGGGTTAATGATAGCCATTCTGAACTATTGTATAAAATGAGTTTTAACCTGAATTTATCACTTGTATCAAAAAATACTTTAATCACTTGTATAAAAAATACATTAGAAGAAAAAAAAAATGATTTAAGAAATATTTCTTGATAAACTAAACTCAAAACTTTTACCAAAAAAAGTTATAGTATAATAAATACATCTAATTGCTATATCAAAAAACAGAAAACTTTAGTAGATAAAAGCAAAAAATATAATTATTGCTCAATGCATTTTCATTCAATCAAACTTAAATTAAATATTGTTACTGAAAGGGATGCAGAAGTTCCAGCAGCTCAGAATATGTTTTCTCATGCGACTGAAGTCGAAACTAAGTCATTAACAAGACTGCCATACACGAAAATTCAAAAACTTTTGAGAAATCAAAACTGAGGGGCAAATCAGCAAAAGCAATAGTTTTAACACCTAGAAAAGGTGAAATTTTTATCAAAACAACTTAGATGCTACTGATGACTTTTTACTTTCTTCAGTTTAACATACTTGTGCTAAAATCCTAAAATTAAAAAAAAAAAACAGTTTGTTCTATATAACAAATTCACATTCATAAGGAGTTTTAAAAATGCTTAATTTGTAAAGACCCAGTGTTCCTATTTTACACATGAGAATTAAGCTTTATTAACATGATTAAAGGAAAAATAAAACCATGTTGCATGAAGTATTTAAAAAGGAGAAGAGTAACATATTTGTAGATTAATTGTACACAAGTGGAAGGAAATTAAATATTTTTAGTTTGAAGGATTAAAAACTGAGCAGGTCTGGAATGTTCCTTACATGCATTGTTGATGATGACAGTAGTAAAATAACTATGAGAACAGCAATATCTTTCAGAACCTTAAACTAAAAAAAAAAAAAAAAAATTGCATGAGTAAAGCATAAACGAACACCACACCTGCCAACCTTGAAATATGAAAAACTGGACCTTTCTGAGAGCTTTCCTTGCTGCAGGGTGACCCCTATTTCAAATTAACTCAAAATTAACAACTAAAATTTACTTTACAATACATGATTTAGATAATTAAATTAATTATATGATTTCAGATATAAAATATGTTAATATTTATTTAGAAAGCCTAATTTAAATATTCTTCGCTATTTTCCTTTTGTAATTGTCTTACACCTTTACACTGAGAAAATCCTCACTAAGAAGAGCTTTTATTTACCAATACTTTTAAATACGATGAAAATAAAATTAATAATAAATATAAACTAATGTGTGGATACTCTTAATAATGCAATGTGTAATTTTATGTAAAACAAAATTTAACAGTATTAACTCATTAAACAGTGCTTGAATTTTCATAAAAAGTTTAACAAATGTCTATAGTAGACTAAGACAATTTAGATCAAATAAAATTTAATAATAAAAAATATGAGAGTAATAAAAGTCACTGAAAGTGAGAAATATTATTCGCACAATTTAATTTCATAAACTTCAAACATTGTTGAGAAACTTTTTACGGTACTTATGTATCAACGTCACTGCAGCTGCAGATTTGGTGGTTTTTAAGTGCCGCCAATCACCTATAATTTTTGAGACAAATCATAAATTAAAACACTTTATTTAAAATCAAAGTAGTCAGTCGAATTTTGGTGAAAAATGGGTCAATATAGAGTTTACCTTAGATTCAAAACAGTTTCTATTTTCTTTGACCTGATGCTGTCGCCATATGAACTCTGCTAAATAACATTCTAGATGATGTCTCGCTGTCCCCTTATGTCTCTTGTTCCTCCATTTAGACTGCCCCACATTCTCTGAACTGTTTGTGTATGAACTCCTGTATCAGGATCAATAAAATTGTATTATTAACTTTAGCATGTAGGAATCTTCTTTTTCTATTCTATTTGCTTGGTAACCTTTCCAACTGTCAGAATAAATTGTGCTACCATCTGCAAAGTTTTCAATAATTTTATTAAGGGTAGAGCCAGTTCTATTAGGAACAGTGACAACAAACGAATCTTTTGTTCTCTACATATACCACCAAATATCCACTGTTCGGGTAATACTTGACCACAATTATTTTTACGCTTAGTAAACAAACTTTCATCAATTTTCCACAATGCAATCTGGTCTGCCTACCTACTTGTTTGGTTTATTCTCCATATCCAAGACACATAATTCAAGCACATAATTGTTCCAATCTATGACAATTTTATCCGATAAATCAAGTTCCTTTTCACAAAATTTAATCGATATCAATTTCTCGCAGCAACAGAATATGATTCTCAAAGCGGAACAAAATGGAATTCTGCTTCCTTCAAACCAGTTGTCTTTTTTAAATCCCACTTGCTGATCGCACTGTCTTAAATTACATTCCCAAAACGTACGTTTACCAAAATAAAGTTTAATATGCAAATCGGTACATTTTCGTTTTTTTTTTTTTAAATATTTCGCTCCTGAAAAATAAAATTGCATCTTCTTCTGTGTTTGGCAAATCCCAAAGACACATTTTTGTAGCACTAAAAAATGGCGTTAAAAATCAGCAAACAAGTTAAAAGGGTATCCAAAAGATAACTACATCCGAACAACAGGATTGCTCTTTATTGCTGCATCAGCAGAATTTCTGCTTCGGTGGCGTTAATACACAAGTACTCTTTCTTCTTAGCAAAGCTTATTTAACATCTTGACTGCTGTGGGGGTCACTGGTGACCGGCACTCAACTTGGCTACAGCGCCGTGGGTGCCACCGGTGATGTGACCAATAGTAAAATACATAATTAGAGCAAAAATCGATACATAAATTTTAAAATATTACCATTGTTACCATAATGGTTTGAAGAATAATAAATCGTAAAAATCTAAATTATTAATCGCAAAAATGATCTACAGATGTTTGGGGGCCAGCATGAAAAATGCATTAAGCATGATTATATAACTCGCATTATCTTCTGTAGATAATATTTCAACATAATACACATCACATAATAAAAGTTCTAAGTTGGCAGTCATGGGCAAACCAAGTTAAATGCGTGCGGCAGTCAACGTGTTAATTAAAATTAAAAACCAAAAAGCTAGTAAATGTGATAAAAGAAAAAAAAAAAAAAAAAAAAAAAAAAAAAAAAAAACAGGAGTCTACCTAAAACGAAGAGAGATGGCAGCTATGCAACACTATTTCTTGTCACTGACCCTCTACCTCATGTTCACTCTGCTCATCTACATACAGTAAAGCTGAATATTTAACAT